CTCTATCCAGAACTCCTCAAGTGGAAAGTTTTATTTTCGAAAAAAAATCTTCCTTAAAGAACCTTTGATTATCTGATCATCAATCAATTAATCGAAAAAATAATTAAAAGATGAATCGATTTTCTAAATAATTGTTAGTTGCAGCCCTACTTTCATTCTTTATCTCATCGTTTTGCATTTGTTTAAAACGATCTAAATGTTTGGTCGCTGCATATAACGTCCACTAGCTGATTGCAGAGTATTTCCAGTTTCACCCACCCTTTAGCAGCTTAACCTTGAAGTTAATGGTTGTGCATAACCTTATCAGTGTCTGTCAGCAATGTACTGGCCTATTAACACACCCTTTTTTACAGCATGTTTACAGTTTATTTATGCATAACTGATTTAAAATTATTGACAGACATTTGCACAGCCTCTGCTCTTTTCTTTTAGTATATTTAAGTTTACAAAGGTTACCAAAAATGTATAGTTTTAGAACAGAGTTTTCTGAGGCTGTCACTCTGTTGATTTAAAGTGAAAGATTGGAAATATTTCCAAAGCCAGTTGTAGATGTAGGTATCACTCTTACATAATGCTTAATAAATCCTTAATTGACTGCTACGCTTCAAGCCATACTAATTCATAAAATCTGTTGGTTTGAGCAGGAATTTGCTGTTTATTCCTTTACAGTAAAACGCTGAAGTTTTCGGCTTTTGTTGGGTATCAGAAATTAAAGCAGGGATTATTGTGTTTTTAACTACTATTGGCAATGGAAAGAAAACAAATTTATTCATTTTATGCCTTAATATTGAATGAAATGTCAAAAAATAGTGGGACTGTTCAACATTTTTAGACTTTATCAGAGAGATTATCACCTCCAGTAGAGGTTTCAGTTGTTCTTAAAGATAATGCATCAAATTCTCACACAAAAGGGGGAGAAAGTTTTTGATGTTGTTTAAAAACAGAATATTAAAGTCTTATAGATTAAATTAAATTCTTTCCTCTTTATATTTGATGATTTTTATTATTTATGAATGTAGTTGCTGCAGGAAAGTATATCCAATTAGCCTTTAAGGTTGATTGAATTGCAGTTATTTTTTTGATGAATTTCTTTTTCCTCTTAGCATTTGGATGGGAGGTTTTTGAGAGAGTGAGTTTTGTGTTTTGTTAGGAACCTGGATTTAATTTCTGGCCTCATTCTTTTTTATTTTTTTTCCATCTGCTGTAACCAGCCATCCGACTTGGCGTTGCTCTGCAGTCAGGATATCAGAATCCGCTGAGGTTTTCAAGTTAACGACTATCAGTGTTTCTCTGAGAATTTCTGTCTTTGTCTGCATATTCCTGAAATAATTTCTGCTTTCTAATGATCAGTGTTTCCTAATTAAAAGGCGCTGGTATGTCTGTGTTACAAGTAAAGGTTCTGTAAGGCTTTGTTCTCTTCTGCTTTCTACTCACGCTCCAAGGCCAGATCTCAGGCAAAGGTCCAAGTTTTCATTTTTCAAACCGCCCCTCCTTTTCTTATCCCCTGTCAGCACTTTCACAACTCCACCATAGTGACTCAAGTTTGAAGAAACAGAACATGCAATGTTTGTGTTTAGTTATGAAATGACAAAGTAAGACTTTAAAGTTTCTCTACCATTCAAGACTTTCAGAAGCACAATTCATAGCTCTAATATGCTTCTACAGAAGTGGACTCTCCTGACTTCAATTAGGATTTTTTTTTTTGCAAAGCAGTCCTGAGTGATTTATAAAAATGCATTTTTGCATGCCATAGGAGACACATTTAGAGAGCACCAACAGTAAATTATAGTGGTTAGCTTTGTCCAGGGTCAATGTGTGCATGAGAAGCATGTTCTTTATTGCTTTTGACCCCTCTTCTGGCCTTCAATGCTATTTTAGTCCGTAAGTTCACCCTTCTTTGTTTGGGTCACTGTCAGAATGTCAGAAAAGAAGCAGTATGTTTCATCCAAGCTGAGAAGTTACTTCTTTTCAGATTAAACTGGCTTTTTAATCCCTCATAGGCTGTATATAAAAATAAAATATAAAAATAAACCTGCCCTTCTTAATTTGATGCATTGATATGCACACTAAAGGAGACATGGTGATTGGCCTTTGATATTTAATCCCAGATTATTAGCTGGTCCTTCAATACACAAAATTAGAACATAAACAAGATGGTGACTCATGGAAAAGAAGTGGATCTACCCGGGCAGAATGCTGGAAGTTCTTCACTATCGGTCTCAGTAAATACACGTCAAAAGCAACATGCGTACTTGCAAGAAAAAAACAAGACATGCTTTTATTTTCCACAGTTAAAACCAAAATGTTTTCATGTTTAAAGCAGCACAGCACATTCACATTATAGGATGATTACATTATAGCTGCAGCATCAACTAAAAATTAGTAAATATTTGTTTTAAGGCTACATTAGAACTGGGTTACTCTCTACACTGAAAAAACAATCTAGAAAAACGTAAAAATATCTTAAATTAGCCTTAATTTGAGTAGGTAAATGAGATAGTTTGCCAATGGCATGAATATTTTTACTCTTAAAATTAGATAATTTGATAACATTCACTTGAAGTAAGACGATGCAATTGTGTTCTCTTATTTTAAATGTAAATAGTCTTGTTCCGTTGGCAAAATGCGTCTTTTACCTCCTCAATCCAAGAAGAAATTCACCTGTTTTAAGAAAAGTTTACTTTCCATTTTTTTTCCAGTGTACTCTTACTGTTTTTTTTTTTGGCAGTGCACAGTGCAAAGGAGAAGATGAAGTGTAGACATTTCTTGTTTTATATTTCTGCCTCTTATGTTTCAAATAAGTAGGAAAGAGGTTAATAGACTATACCTGGAAATATTTAAAAATTGCAATGTTTTTCCACTGGGTTGATACCAAAATGCATTAATAGATGGAAACAGGTGGCAACTGTTCCACATGAGACGGGATTATGAGGAGGCTGTAAATGTAGGAGTTCAAGTATCCAAAGATCTTTTTCTAGGTAAAATGTTTAGTTCTGGAAATGGAAAGATGGATTAGAGACATGTCTATAGTTTAGATATTTCTTTGGTAGGGGTGGAACGGTTCACAAAATCCACGGTTCGGTTCACGGTTTCGTGGTCGAGGTTTTCGGTTCGATATATGTTGATTGTTCGACCGAAATCCCACAAAAGTTAATGAAATTAATGAAAAAATCCCCAAAAATTAATGAATTGTAATTATTTTTAATGATCCGCGGTAACCCTGGATCATTTCCGCATGTTTTGCTGCTTTGAATTTAATCATCTGGCGCATGCCCTCTACGATCTCCAAGGAACTCAGAGCGGAGCGGACGGGAGCCACAGCGGAGGCTCTAGGCTTTGCTTTGTGCAGGCGGTCTGGAGCGCAGCGCTGACGGAGTATGTGGGATATCGGGGTTAGCCTGACATGTTGGTCGTGTTGCTGTTAGCATAAACAAAACATGTTGCACAATGCTTGCACACTGTTGCACTTTTATCCACAACTTTCTTTCCGCCGTCATCGTAGGTCACTCTAAATGCAAAGTGGTCCCATACAGCAGACCTATAAAGTGCTGCTGGCGCGTCTTCCAACTCCTGTTCTTTCCCACTCGCCATACCCACACAATTCTCCACAACAACTGATTCTTTTCTGCTACACCCGGCTACGCTGCTTCACCTCTTCTTCTTGTTTACTACTGGTGGTTGGCTTTGGTCACAGTACCGCCACCTTCTGCTCTGGAGTGTAATTGCTTCGCCTATGAGAAAAAGGAGCAGCGCATGAACCGAACGCAACACACGCGAACCGAACCGAGACAGTCGAACCGTACGGTTCGGACGGTTTTCATAAACCATTCCATCCCTATTCTTTGGTCTGCTGCACTAAAATACGAGTTTTTAGGCGATCCTCTCACTTTATTGGTCCACTAAGAGTCATACCATGGGCAGATCTAGGGCCTAATGCCCAGCACTTATGGCCCCTGATGATGATAGATATGTTTTATTTTTACGATAATATTTTCTAAGAAGTCACATGGACCAATTACCTTTGTTATGAGGTATATTCTAACCCTAGTAAATGGTAATGAGGGGTGAGTCATTATAAAAATGAAGGGGGTCCTGGATATAAGTGGCTGATATCCGTGGAGCCTCTCTCTGGGTATTCTCCAGAGTTTCTTATTGGTAGGAGACCACAGAATTAAATAAATGTCATTAGTGGGAGAAATTCCAGGATTTTCTTAATAGACTTGACCCTCCATGACAGACAGACAGATGGACTGACATTATAACATTGAATGGATTTGAAATAGATGTTAGGTTAGTTTTCCTGATAACAACGTTGGCCTACTGGCCTATTGCAATATTTCATAGAGATGGGCATGCAGGTGGCCCAGTGGTTAGCATGCACACCCAGGTACAGACCCCTTAGTCCTCGGTGCGGCCGACCCGGGTTCGAATCCGACCTGTGGGCCTTTGATGCATGTCACTTCCCCTCTCACACCCCCTTTCCTGTCAGCCTCCTTTAATAATAAAAAAAACTTGCCACTAGTACCATAAAAAAAAAAAAAATGTATATCTCTATGAAATTTATATATATAAATTTCATAGATATACATTTTTTTTTTATTTTTGAATCATGTGTTGTAAAGGTTTAAAGGTTCCAAACATTTAAGTAAAGCAACATTGATGTGGTAAACTTTGCAGATTGAGATTATGGAGATCAGAGATTAACTCAGATGGAGCTGGGATGAGTCATTTAAGTCTGTCCTTCCCTTCATGGTATTCTGCAGCTTGTAGTCTGCTGATCCTGCAGAAAACCAATCTGTGCTTTGTTACATTTTAAAGGATGGGATGCCAGACCTGCTTTCTGCTCAGAGGCTTGACCCAAAATGGCAGCCCTCACTTTGGCTGCCTCCACCAGTTTCACTGTCAATGCTCATCAGGATTATAATACTATGCGCTGTAATTGTGGTTTTGAGAGGTGCTCAAGTTCAAACCTTTCTTGTTTTTGTTTTTTCTCCTAACAGAGCAACCATAGAGGAAGTGGAGGGGGATGTGTGCGAGTTGGAATCTAAGCTCGACAAAGTGAGTACCACCCATGAAAAACATTGCTTAATTGTTCATTTACTCCACAGTGTTAGCTGGCATGTGAATAAACATGCTGTGAGTTGGAAGGTGCAGGTTTATCCAAGGCCCTCATCCCCCAGATATTCTCTGGCCCTTTACCTTTGGAGAAAAATGAAGATTAGACAATGCAACAAAGTGTAGAAGAAGTATGGAGCAGCAGTTCATGTAGATCAGTACATATAAGCCTGCATCTTATAGCCCTGTGCGGCAAATATATATACGTTTACAGTTTAAAAAAAAAAGGTTTGTGGGTGTGTCTTATATTGCAGTGCACTCTATAGTCTGGAAACACGGTAAATCTAGGGCCTAATATGGAAATAAAAGAAAGGTTGATTTAGTATTTTATCTTGCAGAAGTTGCGATTAGAAAAAAAATAAAAAATCAAACAAAACGTTAATGAGTAGAAGAAGTAGGGAGCAGCGAAGCATGTGCTTCCCCTTGATCTCAATGCATGGCTGCTGTTTGTGAACGGCCAATAACAATGCAAGAAAACCCAAAACGCTAATATCGGCTGATTTTATAGCTCAAACAAATGCATTAGTTACAATGCTTAAAGGAAGTGACCTTCATCATCCATTTGTAATATTTTCTATCATAATGACAAAATTGTTCAGATAAAAAATAACACCCTATATAATCTCTGACATGAACCGTAACTGCTGGTAAAATGGTGGCGAAACAGCAAAAAAGTCTCCTTTTCTCATAGTTTTACAGCCTGAAGGATCCCTAAATGTGGTCAACATGTCAGAGGAAATACCATATTTATTTTCCTTTAAATTCCTATTTTCTTCCTCTAAATTCCCCTTATATACCTCATCTATATTCAAACATTTACCTGTCAGGCTTAATTCCCATTCTGTAAAGTGTTTTTGTTGTTAGTGCTTATAACGGTTCATTCACTGACCGAAAAAAGATTCAGTTTCCTTGCCCTTCTTTCGTTTTGTTTTTTTCAGAGTAACTAGTAATTGGTTATCAACGATCACACTGTGCATATATCAGAGCAAACGTTTCCTCCTTAGCCTTTCTATTTAGTTTTATTTGGGATTGACGTTTTAGCTATCAGGTGCCTTTGCAAATTATAACTGATTAAAAAAAGCTTGTCAGTTTTTTTTCTGACATATTTCATTGTTTCTTAAACATATAACAACTACTACAGCATTAAAATGTGTACAACCTTCTTCAGTCTAAATAAATCAACTGAAGGTAACCGGACCAAGCAAAGCACAGTTAATGGGTGAATCTAGAGGCCAATAATTCCCCCTGCCCAGCACATCCATATTGCTGTGTTCACTAGCTGACAGCTTGACAGTGAGGCTTGGAGAACCCACTTCATTGTTCCTGGACCTACACATTTAGAGCCCCACCTCTGTGACTCAGCCCCAGCCCCACTTCCCCTCTTGCTGTGGAGAGGAAGGATCTGCCAGAGAGTGGGTGTGTTTGCATGCATGAGTTTGGCTGTGACAGCGTGTAATGTCACCCGTGTCTAGGGTGGAGTCCTGCTTAGACAGACCAAAGTTCGACTTTTTTTTTGTTAGCTTTGCCAAGTCACACACAGGCATGTTGAATAAAAAGTAATGCTCTTCATCTTAGCAAAGTAAAAGGCTTTATTTCACAGATGTGGTTTAATCATAAAGAAAAGATCTTCCTAAATAGGATTTTACTACGTTTGATTATCTTTCAAATCTGTAACGTAATTATAATCTAACTGTGAATAATACATAATGATAGTATTTGATACTATTTACATTTTTATCAGTTAATGAAGCGACTGCAATGTTGCTGCTGTTTACTGTATACTGTTGTGTTGACACTGGGATAAAGTAGCAATGGATTTTCCCTTCTGCTCTCACTCCTGTTTACGTCATAGATGGATGATTAGTGGAGCAATTAAATCTTTACTGGCGTTTTCCTTAAGGGATCATCCACTTTGGAAACAGAAGAAAATGTGAAAATGTATTTTCTGTGTCTTAGCTTTATGGGAATCACCTTTGCTTTTAGTCTGGTAGAAGACAAAAAAAAGATGTTTTTAATCCACCTGGTGGCAGAATTGGCAACAGCCATTGTTGTTTTTAAGGTGTAGATTACCAGCAAACATATTTTTAACATTGATTGTTTATTTATGTGCCAGGCAGCTTACTTTGAGTTCATTCATTTAGTAAGTAAATATCCCCAAATTTGGAACAATTATTTTCTTTCCCTTTAAATCGAGTATTGCTACTCTAACAGTTGATAATCTGTATAAGCCATGTTTGCCGGTTTGATAGCTTTCAATCTGCTGCTTTAAAAGGAGAAAGCAATCTTTCACTTATCCACCTTGGACGATCTCTTCAGATCATTCTGGAGTGCGAGTATACTCTTTCATTTGCACTTTCCTGCTCACCTCACTGGTTTTTCTATTTGGTTTTCCATATTTTCCAGACTATAAGCCGCTACATTTTTCCCACGCTTTGAATCATGCGGCTTATACAAAGGTGCCGCTTTTATGTTGATTTTTCCCGACTGTTAGAGGCTGGATGTCAAAATTGTAAATCAAAGAATAAGGGGCTATTTTGCATTTAGCACAAGCACAAACTAGCAGCAGGCACAACGGAGAACAAATATCCCGAATTCACACATTTTGACATTTATTTGCAGCAATAAAAAAGTCGAACCAAAGAGACATTTTATGCAACTCCTGCAGAGCCGAAATAAAGAGCTGATGAAGCCCCATCATTCATTAGAAGCTCTTACTGCCACAAGCTAACTATTCAACAGGTAATATGTAGAGCTCCCCCTGCAGGTTAGGTTGGGGACCATTCAGTAGATGTCAGCATCTTATAGCCCTGAGCAGCTAATATATATATGTTTCAGTTTTTAAAAAAGGTTTTCGGGTGCGTCTTATATTGCAGTGCACTCTATAGTCCGGAAAAACGGTAAATCTAGGGCCTAATATGGAAATAAAAGACAGTTTGATTTAGTATTTTGCATATCATTTATTGGTCTTTACAGCCACCAGATTCTTTCTTGAAATGTTCTGATTCTTAAAAAAAGTTTTCATATATCTAGGGCTGAAACAAAAAATCAAATTAATCGTGATTAATAGATTATTAAAAATAACCGTCAACTAATTTATTAATCAGTTAATTGGTAACTGGAGTATATGGACTATAAAACATGCCTTTAGCTGACAGAGTAACCCATCTTGAGCAGCAATTGTACCAAAATTGGAAACAAAAATGTTAACATTTTGCATTTAAGATAAAAAAAGAATCTTTTTCTTTTGTCAATATGCTCTATCCAGAATTCCTCCAGGGGAAACCTTTCTCACTTGGTTTATCAAATGGGGGAGTGTTTGCCTAGTGGTTAGAGCAGTGCGCTTGTGGTCTGAGACGGTTGCAAGGACCCTATTTGATCCCCACAGCCTCCACTCTGGGCCCCTGAGAAAGGCCCTTAACCCTACACTGCTCCACAGGCGCTGCACAATGGCAGCTCACTGCTCCCCAAGGAAATGGGTTAAATGCAGAGATAAATTCCTCTAGTGCGAGATCAATAAAAGTTCAATTATTATTATTGTATTATTATTTAATTTAAAAACATATAATAGTTTTTAATAGCACAATAATAGTTAGTTACAGCCCTACATATATCAGCACTAAGAATAGATGCAGGCCCACATCATGACAGACCCTCCACCATACTGACCATGTGGCCATCGGGTGCCACACTACATAGTCATACTTTTTTTCAACCTAGCCTTCCCCATTGTGTTTGCTAGCAAAGAATAATCTGACTCAATTGGTCTCATTTAAAATCTTGAAAGCTCCACATGTAAATGTTTGTGACAGAAGGACAGAAAAGTCTCTCCAACAACCAGTTAGCATCTCAGTCACATCCAACAGGTTTCATGGAAGCATATAGCAAGGATGTGACTCTCTCTTGCTGTTCTCATTGAGAAAAAAATTGCAGTGTGAATCAGTGACCAGCTTTGCTTTTAGTTTCTGTTTGGTATGTTTTGTAATAAACCTAATTAACCTTTACCTCATCCCCTTTGTTTCCAGCTGGTGAAGTTGTGCATTGGAATGATTGATGCAGGAAAAGCCTACAACGCAGCAAACAAACATTTTGTTAATGGGATCCGGGAGCTAGCCCAGCAATCTGCCAAAGATGAAGTCATCGAGGTAAACAAAAAAAAAAAATTACTCCTGTCTTATACGGACCAGAGAAAGTCCCCAGCTTTAATGAGAGTTTTTTTTCCCCCTAATGAAGAGTCCGCTTTGTCTTATCAACTCTCTTTAGAGGTCAAACTTTAACTTAAAGGCCTTTATTGTCCACTGCCTTGCTGAGGCCAAATGTTTAGTTTTTTCTCGTGTGAATTTTCATAATTGTGGAAGTCCGTGTTCTCTCAGTAGATGGAAGTGCCTCACCCTTTTTGTTTTAATTTAGTTCTCACCAGACGTATTTATTTTTTACCTATTTGAATTCTGTTTCCTTTTCATTATCTTCACAGTCCAGCCTCACAAAGTTTGCAGAGAGTCTGCAGGAGATGATCAACTATCACACGGTAGGCGGCTCTGTGAAAACGGGATGTATTCCCAGTATTTCTTCTTTTCCCTTCAGCTGTTGGTTGATGACAAACCAAGATGGGCTGTTTAACCATCAGGGTTTAGATTCACTGCTCGCAAACACAGCAGTAAACCAACACAGAAACTCTTTCACAGCAAAGGGACAGAAAATGCATCTTTTTGGGAGACACGTTTAGAGTCGCCTTTTGGTGAAAGGGATGTTAGATTTAATGTCTCAGTCAACAACCCTAAAGCATAGCGTTGGTAAAAACATTTCCGTCTAAGTAGATCACATCACCCGCCATAATAAAAAAGTGGCTAACTGAAAGCCGTTTGGGTCGACTGCATGTTGTGGAGCACAGGAATGTGTCTGTTGGAATAAATCATGCATCAGTGGAGTCAGCATGGTCAGGGTCAATATTTTATGGTGCGGTTATCATCCTTCAGAACTGTTCAACACTTTAGAGGAAGCGTTTAGGATTGTAGATATGATTTTCTCTTTCAGATTTTTGTGAAACGATGCCGTAATGTAAGCCGGTTTTAAAATGCCGGATTTTTCTTTACGTATAACATTCATTGCTTGGTTCTTGATCTTTATTGGTGTATGTCTGGACAGATTTTATTGTGTGAGTGTTTTGTTTTAGATTGCCTTTCTTAAACCCCTTCTTAGTTTCTGGTTGGGATAGTTGGACATTTAAAGAAGGCACACTGTTCAACTCTATGATTGCTAAGTGAAATATAGAGCAGTATGTGCAGTAACTGTCCCTGCGTTGGTCCTCTGTGTCATGTCTCATCTCTTTTTGCGTTGTATCTCATGTCCACAGTTGGTTTCCAGCCAGCATTGCAGTACAGCAAAAGCCTGTTAATCAGCTATCAATGTAAATCAACTGTGCCGGAGCAGAGCAACCTCTAAAACCTGCAGGACAGCGGCCCTCGAGGACCGACTTTGGGGATGGCTGCTTTAAAGCAATAATCTAAGAAGCTTTAGCAAGTTAACCTGACTCCGCCAGATGGATTTGCTCCACATATCCATCTGGAAACCTTCCGTTTAAGTAATTTTGGGAAGGGGCAAAAATACTGGTTAGCTGATTGGCCTATATTGGTGATAGACGGGCCAAATTAACCAATCAGATCAACGAAGCATATGACGTAACAGAGCGACGACGAAGAGGAGCAGATTGATAGATCAAACTCTTGTCGAAACCAGTCGGGAGAAGAGCAAAAACATCTTTTCCTCTGAGAAAAGCCTCCAGAGCAGTGTTTTGCTCTTCTTTCAGTGAAGAAATACTCTGTAATTCCGATAAAACTTGCTCAATAGCCACGCTAACGCTAGTTTTATCGGCTGAAGCCGCCATGTTCTTTAGACTGTACTGTCGCGCTTCTCGTTGCGTCACACCTCAACCTGCCTCAAAGCCAACGCTGATTGGACATTCGTTTGGTCAACTGCTCCAAATTTTCTTCAACGGAGTCTCCAGACTGATTAGCGAGTGAAATCTTGAAAGCTCGCGAGATCAGGATGGTCTCACGAGGCTATTAGCAGGTGAAACTGAAGTGGAAATGCCTTTTTACATGTAACATATTGAATATTTTGATCTCCATTGTTCTGAAATTGTCAAGAAAATATACTTCAGCTCGAAGGTGATGTATTTATTGGTCAACTTTAAACCCACATTTACAAATCATGGTAAAGAAAGCTGATGAACATTTGAAAGACAAACTTCTCTGTGATAAGAAAGACTTTGAGATTTTGAGGCTGATGGAGAAATGGGATTTGCACATGATGGACATTAAGAAATGCTAAGTTTTCTGCCACTTAACTAATTGGAGTAGGTAAGCAGTAACAAAGAAACATGCTCAGACTTTTTTGGATTTTAAATAACTAAACGCAGATTAGGGAGGTCTATAATGGCTCCAGTGTGGCCTTCTAAATGCCTCCAGGAGCCACACTGCGAGTCTGCGACTGTTACTCATCTGAGGCAACCGTGACCATATCAGCTGACAGTGATTGCTTTTTGCCACTCAGCGACCTTTCAGCACATGATCCACTAAACACAGAGCTCAATCTGTTTGTCAGTGATGGCCTCTCCCAGCCACACTGCTCATTTTGTCTTCAGGCCTCCTTTAAACTGTTTGCTTTGTTTTCTTTTGCTCTCATTTTTTAAGAGAAGCTGCTGTACAGGTGAAAGAGATCATGACTCACTAACCAGAATAAACAGTTTGCGTCATTCCTCGTGTTTATCTTTTTATGAGGGGAGTTTACAGAGTTGCTGTGTTTGTGTAAATTTAGTTTCCTAATTACACCCTGTGATGTCAATGAAATCTCTCCAAAATGGCTTGGAAAAAGTAAACGTATTGCTGTTGCAGTGGGCATCCCAGATGAATTCATTCCATGCTAAATGCTATCCTTTAGAATGTGACAAGTCTTCCTTTTTTTCCCCTTTCTTTCCACACAGATATTGTTTGATCAGGCACAGAGATCAATCAAGACTCAGCTGCAAACATTCGTGAAAGAGTGAGTATTAAACAAAAACCACAGAAGATACTCTAGAGCAGAGGTCACGGATTAGCCGACTGCGGTCCGGATCCAGACACACCTGCTGGCTAATCCGGACTCAACCTGATTTAAAACATTAATTAATTACCGCATGTTGTCCGACAACAGTCTCTAACTTTACTTTCACCGCTTCTCATTTTAATATGGTAAAGCCTTCCGGAGCGTCGGCACCAGGCTACATGTGATACAAGTTAGCCAATGAACTGTGTCAGTCTGGGTTGCTGCTGCTAGCTACCTTTAGACACAGCAGGCAAACCTGTGGCAAAGAAGGAGAAGATGAGAAAAAGAGAAAGAAAGTGTGGACTGCTGGAAGAACTGCGGTTTACTGCTGACCAAAAAGTGAAATGGTGTCCTCAAAGATGACCCTGCACATTTTTAGTATTTTTTCAACCTGCTGCTGTAAAGCAGGATTCTCCACCATGAACATAATCAAAAATAAATATGGATCCAGGCTCCAAATGAGCACCTTGATATGTGCTTTATAATGGTTTTGTCTCCAATCAAACCCAGGTTTAAAGCCTTGCAGGTCAGCCTAAAGCCCACTGCTCTCATTGAGCCATAAAAAAGAAAAAAACAAAAACAAATGGTCAGTTCAGGTGTTTTCTAAAATATGTAAATCAGGAAATTGTCTATATACCAAACTGAACGATTGTTGTTCTTTACTTAAAAAAAAAAACACTTTTAAAATGGAAAAATTTTCCATTTTATTTTTTCATGTTTTTTTATTTAAGAAAATTCAATGTATAACATGGATTCATAAACATTTCATTTTATTTCAGTGTTAAAATTCTGTTTAAAGAAACAGATTATAATTAAAAAAGTCTCCGGACCTTTACTGGTTGATTTTCTTTATTCGGACCCCGATGATTTTTAATTGGTTACTCCTGCTCTAGATGGTTAATGTAACTCGGGAAGTGACCTAAAAAAAATTTAAAACTTTGAAAAAACAGAACAGAGAACAAATGTTCTTCAGTTTTGATTTAGACAAAAAATTATGCAAATGTTTTTTTAAATGGCTTTGCAAAAGTTTTACATTCCCTACATACAAAAATATTTCTATATTACTGCCACAAACTTTACTATATTTTGTTACACTGCAAAAAGTTTTAATCTCAATGAGTAATTTTTTCTTAAAATAAGTGCATTTTTTCTTGAAGTAATGAGGTAAGTGTAATACTTTGCCAATGGAACAAGACAATTTACATTTAAAATAAGAAAAAACTATTATATTGTCTTATTTCAAGTTCCTATTATCTAATTATCTTAATTTGGGAGTAAAAATCCAAATTCCATTGGCAAATCATCTTATTTTCCTGCTCAAATTAAGGGTTAATGTATTTCATTTAAGACTTTTTTACTCATTTTTAGATCGTTTTTGCAGTGTAGGATTGTACAATATGTGGTTGACAAACACAATTGTAGCGACCAGTTGTGGCTTGGAAGGGAAATATTTACTTTTTTTCAGTCCACCAAAGCTAAAAACGCCACCTATTGTTGCATTTACAGCCAAATGTTTGTAAAATGTCTCTACCAGCTTTATACTTCCAGACGCTGCCATTTTTGGCCAATTTTCTTTGCAATCTTTCTCAGGCTGAGTTAGAATGAATACAAATGACTGTCCTGGCCTTCCTAGTTAGTTACACCACTTGTTCTATTGAATTATCTAAATAAATGGTGTAGATTTCTATTTGTTAGAATAATAACCAACTTAATATAATTTTTCATTTCAGAATTATCCTTTTTGTTAAAATAAAATAAAATCCCAATACATTGCAGAAACAAAACCTAAGTAAGTAAATTTTCTTGAAAGAAGTGTATTTTCCATTAATTTAAGCAGGTAAGGAAAACGATTTCCCAATTAAATAAGATGGTTTACGTTTGAAACAAGAAAAGAAAAAAACTCCATGAACTTATTTCAAAAACATATCTGATGATCTTCTTTTATGGTCCCTGCATTGACAGATCATCCTATTTACCTGCTCAAATTAGGGGCAAATATACACATTTTAAGAAAATGTGTATATTTTGTTAACTAAAGGTTTTTCATTGCATCATGACTAAATGTTGAAAGGGTCAAGAATACTTTTTTTCCACTCACTTTATTATATCTATCTGTTTCAGGCCTTCGCTCAGAATTTCAGACTGTTGGCGTAATTACAGAAGGCTTTCGTAGCTCAGGATTAATTCATTAGCAGGATTAGCAGTTTTAGTCAACAGCTACACTCCCACGATGTCAGCTCTAATACTTCCAAGGGAAAACGTGGAAAGGTTTTTCTTTAGAGACATGTGAAACATTTCTGAGAGCTTTTACAACAGCAATGGAAATCTATTCAGACCTCCAGAGAAATTCAGGTCATAGAGATGTTTTGATCTGCCTTTGACATTAATGGTTTTGTTTTTAATGACCTCACTGAGAGATTAATGTTACTTAAGTCACCTTTGCCCCCAAAAACTATTGAAGATAAACAGAAATGCCATAAACCACTGCTTTGTGACGCCTTATTCACCTTTCTAAAGACATTTTTATCGTCTTTGGTGCAATATTTTATACAGCATTGATTTATCAACCTGAAAGTCAGTCTGAAGATGAGTTTTTAAGCTAATTTAGGCAAAGTTTGATATATGAAATGTTGTTGTAAATGTTAAGCCTTTTCCCTACATAATAAGTTAGAAGTAATCCACTTGTAAAAGCAGTAAAAGTACATATTTTTTCTGGAAATATGATTTTATAAAGATATGATCATTTTATATTTATTTAAAATATGCCTTTACAGGAATTCTATTAAGATTATTTCCAGGATTAAATGTTTATTTGTCTCCTAAGGATATTCTGCACAAACCTACTTGGAACAACTGACTGCTGAAAGAATTAAAGCTTAAACACTATCAATCTTTTGCTATTTATTTGTAGAAATTGTTATAACAATTTGTTTTTAAGTAAATATGTCAGCTTAAATTCTTAACTTTCCTTCTTAAATCTGTAGTCTGTTAACAGCAAAAGTCTGTTTTCACATGTTTGCTTCCTAAACCTTTTCTTATGAAACTGGTAAATAAAGTTTTAATTTTCTATTTTTTTTTTCAGTGACCTGCGAATGTTTAAAGAAGCCAAGAAACAATTTGACAAAGTTAGTGAGGAAAAGGAGGCTGCGCTCATCAAGAACGCCCAGGCTCCTCGCAACAAGCAGCATGAGGTGGAGGAGGCCACCAACATCCTCACCGCCACACGCAAATGTTTCCGACACATCGTTCTCGACTACGTCTTACAGGTAAAAAGGGTTACGGAACAGATTGATATCTGTATGTCATATAGCGACGGACATTGTAGTTTAAAAGAGCATTGTGTCAGATAGTGCACACGCACTTTAACAAGATAATGTACAGCATCAACAGTAAATATGAAGATTTCCGACATAAAAAAATAAATAAAACCTACCAAGAATGCCTGCAACAGAATCCTGCATAGATTGCTGAAAAAATTTTTTTTTCCAAATTACTACCTTAATGTTTCATTTTATAAATATCTACCGTAATTTTCGGACTATAAGCCGCGACTTTTTCCCCATATTTCGACCATTTTTCGACCTTGCAGCTTATATAACAATCCGGCTTATCTATGGACTTTTACAGCTAACGGCCACTAGGGTAATACGGTACCTAAATCTATGGATTTTACCATCCACCATGTTGACGTCACATTTGCTTCAACACACAAGTAGCTGCGCGTGCGGGAATAAGGACGTCCTCCGGAAGCAGACTCCGAGAAAGACGGACATTGCGAGCGCAAGACAGTTTGTGTGACACCCTCATTATGGAAGACAAAATTTGAAATGCATAAGATGCAGCTTCTAAGTTAAAGGCAGTCAATTTGGCAGTAAACGAAGGAACTAGAACCGCTGCACGTAACCTTGGAATCAACGAGTCAATGGTGAGACGTTGGAGACACCAGCAGGAAGAATTGTCTCAATTCAATTGTGTTAAAATGTTAATAAATAGGAGCTTCCCCAAACAGTTGCCTCTTTCCCGACAATCCCCTCTGTGCACGAACCATTTGGTAATTAAACATAAAAAACTTGCGGCTTCCAGTCCGGTGCGGCTTGTATATGTTCAAATCATGCAATTTAGCTTCTGCGACTTATATTCAGGTGCGGCTTATAGTCCAAAAATTACGGTAAAAAAAAAAAAAAAAACATAAAACCTAATAAAACCCCAAAGTTTTAATCATAGATAAGAGTATAGAGCGGAATACCAGAAATGATATATCAGCGTTATTAAATAAAATTTGATTTGTTATGTATATATATATATATATATATATATATATATATATATATATATATTAATTTTGAATGATTGACCAGCCCTAACAGGGGGAATTCTGTGCTTTGATTTGTGGACACCGTTAATGTTGCTTTTCTGGAAGAGTTTACAGAAGAAAGCCGCTGTTAAAAGAAAATTGTAAGTGCTCTGATTTGCTAAACAAAGCTTTGTGTGGTCTAAAAACGCTACATGTCAACTAAAACTAAACTTTACTTATAGATATTTAAAACAGAAGGTCAATAACCACTAGAAAAACTAAATGAAACAATCAAATAATTTAAACATACAGATTTTCTAAAAGCTGTTGGGCAGCATCATACTGTTTTTTTAATTTGTTGAGATGAAGCTACATTTAAGGGAGGGATTAAAAAGTTGTTGGTAAACGATGATCTCTGTCTAATCTTACTCATTTCAATGAAGAATGGATAAAATATTAGTTTTTTAGATGTTTAAAAATGATTCCTCCTTAAAACATTTAGAGCTGTGATTGTAGAAAAGATGATTCTTCAAAGTAAAGACTAGAGGAAGATGAAAACAAATGGTAGCATCATTTTCCAGTTTACATTTGAAAACCCACATATTTATCATCCGTGTCAAAGTGATGCAGTTTATTTAATTGATCAGTCTAATAAAATCCCAAATCTCAAAATGGTACATTAAGTTTTGGATGTGACAAAATGACCAGGAAAATTTGGTTTAAAAAAAGTGGTTTATACCTTTCTGGTGCACAAATTATAGTAGAAATAAGCTATTGATATGATATGAAACAAGCTAAAATATCAGTTAAAATTGTATACTAGATCTATATGCTTCCTCTAAGATAAAGGGTTTATTGGAACGATAACAGCTGCTGCTTTTCCATGAAATACTCCTTTAAGAATGAGATATATTTGACTCCATATTTAATTTATGGGTTCACCTTCAGGTTTTAGACATTCCTGTTATGAGGATTTAATTTTAATTGAACTCTTCTCTTGGCGTGATGGCTTTAGAAAGATCCACATGCTGTCTTAACGACACACCATCATTTTCAGTAACAGTCAGGAAAAGAGAAATGTGTCATTTTTCCATCAACTCATTCATCAAAAATAAGCTGAACTGGGAATTAAAAAGAGGAAGCTTGCGATAAAAAAGCAACCTTCAGTGTTAAAAATGTCTGTTAGGTTTCATTTATTGAGTTTTAGCCCTTTTTCCTCAGAAGTGTCCTAAGGCTGGTCTGGGTGGACAAGTGTTTTCTTCTCCAGGCTGTTCTTATTCCACATGGCCGATCCCATGAGCTGTGTCTGTGGCTCTCAGCAGTTCTTATTACTTTGTGGTTTCTGATAAAGCAGCTGTCAGCAGTTTTGTCGTATCACCCATCAAAGGAACATACGGTGCTGAGTTTGTATCGCTCCCGCCCAAAAACGGCTTTTAACACTGGCTCGGCGTTCTGCTTCGGCTCTTTGCATAATCACTGCCTGTTAAAATGGGGAATAATTAGTTGTTTTTTTTATCAGGCTATTTAGTTTGCTTACAGGAAATCCTTAAATGAGCTGCTTGCTCAGCTGATTTAAATGAGCCTCTGTTGATGTCGACAGCATTTAACCCCTTTCTCTCTCCAGCTGTGCTTGATGTGTAATTTAAGGTGATTCAGATTAAACTTTTCTTTCTTCTAGATTATCTTTTCCTGATTTTATGGTATACAGTTTTATTTCACATTTTACTGCTGCCTTGCATTAAATCGAACTAGACTTTTCTTGCTTTCGGTCTTTTTTTTAAAAAGCTCTTTTTTTAATATATGTATGTATTTTTCCTTCACAATTTTCATCATTTCACGTTTCTCACTAATCACACAACTGGAGATGGGAGTGTCAAGCTGGTGTAATTTTTTAAATGATGACCTTTCAGCTCATTTGATCACAGATTTTACTGAACTTGCACATTAAAACTGATGTTTAGCCAGTTTTATTTTATGATTATTTTATTTTGAACATCTTTTACATAACAAGTTTGGAAGTAAACATTAAGCTCCAACAATTTTTCAATAATAGTAATAGCCACATATGTTCATAGGTTCTTAGCAGAGGTGGGTGGAGTACCCAAACATTATACTTAAGTAAGACTAGCACTACTTCATCATATTTTACTCAAGTAAAAGTAAAAAGTAGCCTGTATAGAAATTATTCAAGTAAGAGCAATATTCAAGTAGTAAATGACTGATCTACTTACTCATAATTATAAAAACTGCTTTAATATTTTTCAAAGTCATGTTAAATTGAAAAAAGAGATACTGTGATATTCAAAGTCTGGTGTTTCAAAGATTAAGATAAACATATACAGTAATTGCATAACAAAAATTTTAAAATTTGTTTAAGTTATGAAAATAACAAAATCAATAGTTACAGTAAGAAAAATAGGTTAAACCACATTATACTGCTTACTGTGTTTTCACTCAACCAACAAATCACACATCAGATGAAAAAATCATATTTACCAACAAACTAAAGTAGAAAAAATAAGACAGTTTATCTCTTAATGGTGCATAGCAATTTAAACAATCTTATTTTCATTTACTACTCCTAATGGATGGAGTAACCAGAAGTTTTATTGCAGTAAGAGTAGTGATACTAATGATACTCTGATTCAAGTAAAAGTGAAAAGTACAGTGCTGTAAAAACTACACCTTAAAGTACTTTTTTTAAAGCATTACTCAAGTAAATGTAACTAGTTAGTACTCACCTCTGGTTCTTAGTCCCTGCTCCAATAAAATATGGATGTGGGAAAAAACAACATATTTTTTAAAGGCTTTTGGGATTGAGGTTCAAAAAGACCTTTTTTTATAAACTTATTAAAATGTTGAATTATGTATATACAGTAATTGAGGTAATAACAGTTTAAACTGTATGAGTGGTTAAAGTGGAGACTCTTCCATAAGGTACTCGGAACAATTTGCCTGAATATTAGCTTCTTCTTCCTGACAGAACTGATGCAATTGAGGCAGATTTAAAGGTTGTCTGGTTCACATGCACCACAAAGGTGCAGCTTAGTTCTGCCGGCTCTAAAACTTTGGTTTGCTCCAAATAAATCTAGCTGTAGTTCCTAGCTTCTGTTCCTTCAACATTAATGTGCTCAACTGTAAAAACTCTACTGTAGAAAGTCCAGACTGCCGTTCTGAATCCGGACCTTTTAGCCCTTCTGAATGTCTTTATACGAGGGAGATAAACACGAATCATCCCTCCATGTAAATTTCAGTACAGCCTTCTGAAAAAGAACAAAAACAACCCAAGTTACACAAACGGTGAAGCTCTGAAGTATAAAAACCCAAACTTATTAACGTGATTATGTGTCACATAGGGCACATGTGAGGAAATTATGTATATTTCTTAATTTCTATGAGCTGGGTTGTGCCTATACATTCTGTTATGCTAAGGATTGTCTATAGCTCCTTCGCATCAGATAGCAACGGCATGAGGTCTCTATGCTTAATGAACAATGATGAACAATTTCCCCACTTTCCTTGATGGGTCCTTGGCTCGTCCTTGGCTAGTCCCCTACAATTCCTTTTTAAACATCTAAAATATTCTTTCTGCCATGATTTGTTGACATTAAGATCCAAAGAGAAGATATATCTCCTGATCAGACCCTGTAATTCAGTGAAAGGGTGGAGTCAGAGTAAAAAAAATATGCACGCCCATGAGACGGCGAGTGGCTGGAAGTTGGAGGGAACTTGACTGCCATTCGACTGACTTTTGACTGGGATGGGCCATTTGAATAATTGTTACTGTAGCTCCCTCCTTCCTTAATGGCAGCGCTATTTAGACAGCACTAATGATAAAGACTGCTCACAAACTTCTGCTTCAACTAGAGTCTTTACTGATATGGCTTTGCAATATGGCTTCAAAATCTAATCTTTCCCATCAAATCAGAAAAACATTTTTTGCCTCACTGAAGTTTCATAAAAAATGACATA